ACAGGGGCTTAATCAGGGAAAAGTATACACATGTTGCCTTTGTTCACCCACTTAAAGCAGCAATCTGTGTTTGCAATTATGTAAGGCAGACAGCACTTCATACAGAATGCATACTGGAGAGTTTGTGTATTTACATATATGAAAACATACACAAGCTAGATTTTCCCTTACAATACACCAAGTCACGACTGCCAGTTAATCTCCTGTTGACTCATGTAGCCCACAGCATTTCAAAGTGTACAAATTATTTTTGTCCCACCTAGTACAAAAGTAGCTCATTTTACTGGCAATGTGGTGAGAAGCATTAGGAGTCTCAGAGCTACTCATATTTTTTATGGTATGCCTTCACCACGTATTCCTTACCTTGCTCACAGAGTTAGCTTTCACGTGTACTACAGGTATAACCAGCAACAGCTTTTGGCTGAGGTAAGCTGGTCTAAGAGCAGCAGCTGGTCTACAATAGCTATTAACTCTTTTCTTCTGCTTATGCATCCCACTGTTTGCTGATTCCACAGCATAGAAGTGTCCAGCCCTTCTTCAACAGTTTTTCTCCTTGAAATGTTGTAGTATACTTTATTCTTGTTCTTAAAAGTTGAAGAAGAGCAAAAAGACAAAAAAAGGAAATCCAGATGTTATTGCTGTACTGTACATAAGGTTCATAATCTGCCCTGTTCCTGCCCTTTTGAGATACCTTTTTCTTTCTAACTCTCAAAAGATGCAAGGTTGTTTCCTCTCAGATCCATTTTCATGCGGTACACGTTTGCTTTTGCCACATCGGTGACACTGGCAAATGTACTTCGAAGCTGATGCAAAAGTTCAGTGAAGCCCGTGGTAGATACAAGAACACTGTTTATGAGATAAAATGATGAGTACAGCATTTCCTCAGAGCTTTTGGCATGGAGGAAGGCACCGGCTCAGTTAATAAAAAGAAAGGCATAGATGTGTGACTGTCACTGTAACTTGGTAGCTTCCCGCTCAACAGCGTGCCCAGTGGATTTTATTCCAGGGCAGATGGGGATCTTATTCCGAGGTGAGGCAGATTGGCAGGGGGGATATAGGGGCTGGGCAGCCCAGGACACATGACAGAGTGTAAAGGCACTCACGGGCACTCCAGTGACAGTTCACATCCAAGCTGCATCCAGATGAGTCCGTGCAGGGATCTACATATATTGATCTCCACTAAAGAAAGAATTGAGTAATTTAAATGACATTATAGGATGATTAGCCATTAACCAATGGCTAATTTGGCCCTGTGCAAATTTGAAGAAGCTTTTGAAGAGACTACCCAGGTGGCCCTGCATGCTGGAAAAACAGGCATTTCCACACACCTATTTGTATTCAGGTACCAGAATGAAGTGCCTTAGACTCAGCATTTTACAATCTTGAACAGCAAGATGCTGAGCAAAGTACATAGCTGCAATAGCTTTAGCAAATATATATATAACCTAAGAAAAGATTATAATTTAACCCTACAGAATCTTTTTAATGGTTATAATAGCTAGGAGAAGATTTTCATTGTCATGTCTGATCTAATTATTCATTTGACATCTGCAGTCCACTGAGAATGAATTGAGAATTTATGGATATTTCCTTAAAAAATTTCGTACACTCCCAAAAGAGCCTAGCCAAGACCCTATGAAAATAGTGGCCTCCGTTAATGTTTTTTGCTATCAGAAACATTTGCATCATGTTGTAGATTTACTGTGTACCTCTCACTGTTAGAAGGGGACAAAAAATAAATTTATAACCTAAACCATTTAATCATTTTGCTAACAAAGAAATTGACCTTTAAAAACATTGATCTCACGGCAAGTTCCAAGCATCTTTCAGCAATCGGAAAGGTTAAGGCATCAGGGCTGGCACAAGATTATTCACTTAGCTTTGTGTATAAACTGATTTGGGTTTGTTTGGTTTTTTTTGCAATCACTCGTCTAGACTGATGGATTAGTATGTAGACATGAATACATATTAAAGTTGAAGAATAGAAGTTTGTTTTAGAGGGATCACAGGGACTACAGGGGTAGCTAATGAAGTAGTACCTCGTAGCGATCAGTGCCCAGTGACCTTGGAGTTTAAACGCTTCAGAGCAAAACCCTTCTGAGATGAGCAGGTGCCAGGTGAATTCATACATTACAAATGCCCCAAAGCAACGAACATCAAGTTAGATACTTCTTTTTTTGGACTTTGGGCTATGTCCCAGGACGCTCCTTGGACATAACCTTGCAATGATCAAAACTGGTGATTTTATACCTGAAGCCCAACCCAACCCATCTGTCTTCTAAATTGTTTGTTAACAGTTCCTTGTTTTCAAATTAACTGGATTTGATGTAGAATACAAGATAAGGATGATTTTTCTTATTTTTCTGATTAAGATCAGTAGTGTTTCCTCACTTCCCATTAAAATAGCCAGTGTTAGTCCTATGAACAGAGAAATCTGAGAATGATCATTAAAACTCTAAATAGAGACATACTCCTCATAGAAAATCAAAATGGGCAGCAGGCTGACAAACACGCACACACCACACAAACCTGAAATGCCACTATTTTTTAATGCAATCCTTTACAAATTGAAATTCAAGCTCAAACACGAACCTCCCTGAGCACATTTTTTAATTAGAAAAGTGTTCTCCCTGGCTTTGGAGAGAGGGAAAATGTTACATAATTAGCAAATAATGAAATCAACAGAAAATCTCTCACTGGCTTCAGCAGTTACTGCATTGAGCACTCGCTGACGTGCCAGAGCTCTGCCACAGCAACTCAGTGGCAGACATCTGGAGTAAAACTCAAAGAGTTCTTGACTCTAGTTCAGAAAATTCAGGCAAACTTCTTTGAGAGGTAAATCTCAGGTCTTTTCCTATAAGTCCCTATGGAATGTTACTCCAGAAAAGTGAAGGAAGGTGTCACATTCAGGTCTCTCTATACTCTAGAAAGGATTTTTGCAGAGTTCAGGAATTCATTAATTCTTTGGAAGGTGCTAGGGAAATCTATCCAGATTACCGAATGGCTTACCATCTATCAGCCCCTTTCACTCCAATGTCACAGGAGAAGCTTACAGGTTTTTATAGTCAAAGTCAGATATTCCAGCCTGTCTGAGCATTTTGTCCTGTAGAAGCAGTTGGCTTTCTAAATAAAATCAAATAGAAGGGAATGGAGCAGAGAATAAGGAGCTTATCTACGTAAAACAAGCATAAGTGTGTGAGACTACATGGAAGAGAAAGAAAAATACTGTAGCGCAGTTGGAAAAATCCTTGACATAAACAAGAGTATTAGCAGGACGTGTTTGTTCTTGACCTGAACACTGTAATGCTTCCAAGCAGGGAACATACTTTCATTAAAAATAGGCATTAATTCTAATTCTTCAGAGATGAACTTCAACTGATTTGGAATTCAGATAAGCCTTAAAGCATTTACATATTTTAGGATTATCTAAATTTTTCCATAACTGGGGGTCTCATACTTCTTGGCTTCCATAAGGCTGAGGTTACTGTGCACACTAGGGACTCTGCCATTCTCTTCTCCGGCCCCCTAATCACCCTGTAATGCTGGGTGACCACCCCTTCTTCTGGGTTTTGTGTGTCACCTAGCCCCCAAATAGCCCTATGCTATCTCTGTATTAGCTATATAACCCTACTGTTTCTTCCACACCAGGATTCCTAAATAAATATCTCTTTCTGAGGAGTTTTCAGTGACTCTGTTTACTCTTTTCTTACAGTAGGGCTTTTATGCTATTGCTCTGTGCAAAGGCTCTGTGTTGCACCACTTTCCTTGTGGCGTGTATCCTGCTAGCAGTCTCTGGGAGCTGCCCTGTTCCTTGCTCTTCATGGCAGCTTCCCTACTCTTTCAGAAGGCCTAGGTTTTCCCAGCCCCACTTACTCCTCAGTGCTCAGCCCCTTGTCATTTCACATTCCCATGTTTTTTTATCTGGGATAAGTTATTCAGTTTATAAGCTTCAGACTCCACTGCACAGAAAAGGTTTAACAATAATAGACAGACAACAGTCAATCAGCACTTTTTGGATGCTCAGCAGTTACCCATCCCCTTTCTCCTTTTCCCTCCCACAATCACGTTTTGATTCTCCACCAAGGGAGAATCATTCTTCTCAGCCAGCTATTCCAAATTCCTGAGCCTTCCCATACATTTTACAGAAAGCATTAGCATATTGTGCTAGTAGGTTGAGGCTGACAATGGAAGGAGGAAGACCTACCTAGCATTGGTTTCACTAGGCTATAGTAATTTTAAATTAGGTTCACATGTAGAATTCTGTATAAATTCTAGACGCTCCATAGCCTTCCAGATCAGAGAAATAATAAAGACTTTTTTTTTTTTTACCTTCTCACTGAGTCCACTTCTATCTTAAAACTTACAGAAATAATCTAGTCATCTGCAAAATGTGTGAGTGGAGATTCACAAACACACAAAGTCTAATTTCCCTTCAGAATGGTGTCTCTGCTAATAGTCGAAGGATCCCTGTCTAGGCTATGTATGGGATGGCGAGAGTTGAAAAAAACAGCAAATGAAGGACAAGAAAAAAAATTCATGTTTGGGCTTAGAATTTTCCATGCTCCTTATTCACTTTAAAAACCAGCTGCCAAAAGGTCAATGTTATAAAAGAGGAAAGTTGATAATATGGACAGTTGAAATGTACTATCCCTGTAGACCTGATTTTTCGGAAACTGCTACCTTGCAGGAAAACAGGAAAAATAATTATTTTTTGTAGTTATTCTCCTATAGGAGAGCAATTTCACATACAGGCAGGTGCCAATATCATTAGCTCCTTGGCATTATTTCCTTGCAGAACAGCTGATAGCAAATGACAGGACAGTCTACTTGCACTAGAATACAGATAATTTCTCTCCCTGACATACAAAGTTTTACTGCTTCAGAAAAATATTTACAAACAGTGAGAGCAAAATAATGAAGTAAAGTGTCGATGCACAGATTTAAGAGCTGTATTTGCCTTTCTAAGGTCTGTATACAACCCACAAGCACTAGATTGCATCATGATTTGTTACTGCTGGGCACCTTGCATTGACTTTTATGTGCATGCAAAGTGAGTGTAGAATGATACCTACGTATCAGCCTGCTTTGCTGTAAGTACAAAGGGCACTTTGATCCTGGTTCAGGAGATCACTGTAGTATAGATTTTTTCAAACACCAACTTTGCCTAAAGAGAACAACTGCATAAAGCAGCCTGAAGGCATGAAAGCCACCAGAGAATACCGTCCACAACTTCTCTCTAAGACCTTCATCATAATCCTATTCAAGTTAAGAGGCAAAATTGCTTTTTGTTAGAATACTGTGAAATCAGTAAAAACTAAGTGTGCCAGCTCCTGAGAACAGAAGTGTAGACTCAGGGTTGTTTAGGACATTGGGAGAAGGAAATGCCAAACAGGCCTGTTTCTTTGCCTCTCAACTAACACAGGGTACAGTATGGACAATTTTTATGTGATGCAGCTGGAGAAACCCAGCTACACCATGCCTACTCTCCCAGTTGACAACTTCTCCCAACTTAGGTTGGGGCTGAGTTCACCCCTGAAAAACCTCTTACCTAAATGTACATTTCAGAGCATAACAACAACATTTCCAGCCTAATAAGAGTTTGGCAACTAGAACGTTAGCTAGATGTTAATATAAACTACCAGTCTATGCTAGTTGCCTTAGCCCTCCTTCTGGGGTATATGGAACAAGAGAGGACCCATTTCACTTTTCCGAGACCTTTACCAGTTGACAACTTCTCCCAACTTAGGTTGGGGCTGAGTTCACCCCTGAAAAACCTCTTACCTAAATGTACATTTCAGAGCATAACAATAACATTTCCAGCCTAATAAGAGTTTGGCAACTAGAACGTTAGCTAGATGTTAATATAAGCTACCAGTCTATGCTAGTTGCCTTGGCTCTCCTGGGGTATATGGAACAAGAGAGGACTCATTTCACTTTTCCAAGACCTTTATCTTCCCAAGGGGACGGATCTCTTGAGGTCTCTTCCCAGTGACTAAGAGGAAACCTCAATGTCTACCTGAAGATTAGGCAAGATGAATCCTCAGGAACTTCTGGTGAAAGGCAGATGCTGTCAGATCCTATCTAAATTAGGTTTCAAAAAGCAACATTGCTCCTTTTCAACAAGCAGGGGAACTGCTTGGGAATCTGTCTCCCAGCATGGACCATTAGCACTGCTTGAGCCAGACAATGAACAAACTCCATCACCCGTATCCTGAGTCTGCATCTATATGTGGGAACTGGTCTTCAGAAAGCACTGAATACATTGAGAAGAAACATGGAGCAAGCCCAGAGAAAGCATTGGGGCATTATCGTGCCCAACCTGAGGGCAAGGTAAAGATCTAGAACTGGTTGGATTTCTGGGCAAACAAGGGTCATTTGCATTATTTTGTGGAGAGCTTTCTACGAGCCTAATCTCCCCAGGCAAGGGTCATGTTTGTGTCCGTTACTTATTCTCTTTGCTCTCTGCAGTCCTTCCATTGACTGCAATGGCAGTGCTATTCATGGACTGACTCTAGGATTGGACTGTTTACTAAGCAAATAATCAGAATCAGCAGATTTGGAGTCGTATGGGCACCCAATAAGCAGCCTGTTTTGTTGTCGGATGGGCTATAAAATCCCAAATCCCCTCAGCTCCTAGCTGTTGACACCAAGGCTCACTAACAGCAAACAGAATGGCCTTTCACTCTGTGCTCTTTGTTTTCTTAGCTGGACTGGTATTTTTCTCTGAAGCTGCACCACTGGTAAGTCTCTTTTTATTCAAACTCAATCATTACAAGAATGATAATCTAGATTTTCTAGTTGACTAGCATCCTCCTCATCCATGAAATTTTGTAACCATTAGGCTTTGCTGGAGTATTATTTTACTACCATTTTTTAAGTAGCTTTTTCAGAATTCTTAAAACTTCTTTTTTTGCCGTTTAGCCATCTGTTTTAGGATATTATGAAAGGGTCAGGGATCTAGGAGGTGTGACCTTTTATTTCTGTCTGTTTCTGTCAGTTTGTTACTCACATCCCCTATCTTCAATACAGAGGCAGCTTTACCTCCTTCACCAAACAAGTGCTTCTCTAAAGCACTAAAAAAATATTTTTGAAGTATGACTAAGGATTCCTTATAGTATAACAAAGCTTAAGAAACAAATATTCTTTCAGCCCTAGGGATGTCATACGTATTTCTTTGTTGGTTTCCTAGGCTAACATACTCTGCCTGCATTTGTAATAATTTACTATTTTCTTATTTGTGACCTCATTAAAAAGGTATACTTTTTAATATTTTCCCAGGGCCATGCGCAACTCTAAATATTTATCAAGCAATCTGTTTGTGTGTGTGTAATAAAGTTATCAGTATAAAGTTCTAAGATACTCTGCTTTAAGAAATAGATGTTTGCGAACTAGCTTTGAATACCATTTGGCAAAGAACTTGCTTTTGAAACGTTAATTCTGCAATAAGAATCCGTGTTTTCTTTGAAAGAAGGTTTTTGCAGGGCTGGTGAACAGCTCCTATACAACCTCTCCCACTCTCCCCAAGGTCTCCCACGGCTCTGTTGATTCCAAATGCCCTCTCATGGTGAAAGTGCTGGATGCAGTCAGAGGAAGTCCTGCAGCTAACGTAGCTGTTAAAGTCTTTAAAAAGGCTGCAGATGGAAGCTGGCAGGACTTTGCTACTGGGTAAGTTATTCAGTCTTATGGAGCCATTTTCAAGGTCCCTCGGGCAAACAATTGAGAAATAAAGGGAATGGAGCTCTAATCAAAAAAGCAGTATGTTTTCTAGCACGTGTCACACTATCACCGTTAACAGCACATGAATTCTGGTCTAAAATCCATCAGATTCAAGTGGAACTTATCCATGACTGAAATACATGCTAATTGTAAAAATATGTTGAGATGCTTATCTTATCTTTGTAAGGGCATAGGTTTAATAATTATTCTCCTAGCTTCAGTACTATATTTCCTTTCTATAAAAAGAAAAAAATAATTAAAAGCCTATAAAGCAGAATTTTGTAGGTAATCCGGACTAACCTACTATCTTCATATGCAATGGATATAGAGCTTTATTTGCAGCAGTCACATACAAAATCCTCTCTGTAAGCTTTGTCTGTACACATGCAAACAATAAGTGCATTAGTTGTCTTCTCCTGTGTAACAAACATGCTGGTTGGAAGAAACTCCTTGGCCAGAAAGTTTTAAAGAGTCCCATTGTAACACAACACAGAAGCACAATCTCAGCATTTGTTTGTGGTCATTTCTAAAGATCTGCATGGCTTTTGCTGGAATGACAGCTTACTACATATAAAGCATCCTCAGAACATCACTGAGAGGCAGGCAATAATGCTGTTATCTTCAGTCTGTGGGAAAAGTATGGGCAACAGAGGAATACAGGTTACTAAAATTCAAATGCCTGAATACCTCACCTGTTTAAGTTTCATTTTAACAACTCAGTGAATCAGATTTTTAAATAAGTCAAGAGAAATCTCTAGTAACAGCAAGATATACAAGCACAGAATGACAAGAACAAGCATGGGCAGAAGCCACCAGAGCATCTGATGGTCTTTTAGTAGGATTTTTATAGTATGATTTACATAAAAGTTGCAGGGAAAAAAACAGAGGAAAAGACTACAAGGAGAGAGGTACCTTTCTCTCCATCTGAGGGGTTGCTTTTTATAAAATTCAAAACAAAAAATACTTTTCCCCGTTGAAAAGGAACAAGAAAGGTTAGGAGATTGAAGGAGAAACAAACACCTCCACTCCCAAATGCCAAATGTTAATCTAGGAACAAATGACTCTCAGAATGGATTTATATACTTTAACGAACAGAGAAACTCCCTGAAAAAATGACACGTTGTTGTCAAAGAAAGCGGAGACAAGGATAATGTCTCATCCTTAGTGAGTATTTCTGCCATTATTAGGAAACCCAGATTATTTCAAATGTTTCATCAAGTGATCTTGAACATGTAATACAAAATACACCTTACAGAGGAATAAGATAAATGCAACATCAGTGTAAAATGCCCTCACTTTTGGGGCATAACAGTGTTTTCTTGTTCAGTTTGCAATGCTGCTCTCAACAAGCCCAAGGAGACAAATCCCGCAGTTCTTAGCCAACCTCTGTTGACACTTTAGGTCAGTACACCCCTGAGAAAATCAAATCACTTCTTCTTAAATATAAGTTGAGAAGATTAACCCTAGGCAAGTGAGAAGCATTTTTCTGGGGGAAGGCAGTGGAGGAAAATTAAACCACAATTTTTATTGTAGGTAAAGATTTTGACCTTTCCTTTGACTTGCATCTTAACCAAGGCTGCTTTCAGCAATACCATTGATTTTAGCTGATGACAGTTGTTTGAACTGGGTTTTCACTCATGATTGCAATTTTTTTTCTTTTGGGAAAACCAGAGTTTCTCTGTGTTAAATCAGATGAAAATCTGATTGCAATCGAGGAACACAATCTGTAACTACTCCTGTCAGGTTAATAATATTTTGAAGTTACAGTGCCTAGCAGATGCATATGGAAAAGTTACATTTTGTACAAATGTCTATAAAAGTTAATTTTTTTACTTTTTTGTTTGTTTGTTTTTACTTTGCTAACACATTTTAGGGAATTAAGCAAATGCACCTAGCAACTAGTGAACTTGGGGTAATAGTATTTAAAAGGCAGGGATGAAGTTAGCATAGCAACAGCTGACTTTGTTAAGAGGCTTATTTCAAAATTAGTCTAGCCAAAAATATGCAAGAAGAGATAACTCAAGCTGAGATGCACTCTGAGGAAGGCTTTAGGGCACAGAGACCTAGGAAGCATGTGATCTGGGTTCTATATAAGCTCCTCCCATGACTAGCTTTGACCTTCTCACTCCTCACATGTTTTTGGAAATGTAGGTCTTATCATGTAGTTCAAGAGTTGCATTCACCAAACATAGTTCTTATGTGACCTAGGTAGTAAATCATAGAAAAAAAACCACCAAAACTGCAGCATATTTGAAGTGGTTCCCACCACCCGCCTTTTTTTTTAAAAAACTCCAAAATAATAATTCCTGTTCCTGAGATATTTCTCAGCAGTCTGCACCTAAGGGCAGAGTTTATCTCAGTGCAGCACGTGTCCCAAGAGTTCATAAATGTCATTGCACAGACAGTGTAGATTTAACCTGGTCACAATATACAACTAAGGTCCAGACAGTGGACAAGAGGATGAGGATTGCAGTCTAGGCTGGAGCTGTAGTAACTTAACCAGTGGTTTGCAAATTTTTTGCTGGAAAAGCACACCTTTTTTAACATAATTGTCCATCTTACAGCAGATGCTGGCAGTCCACATCCTATTAAGAATAAGCAACCATACTATATTTATTTCCCCACTCAGACCGAAATACAAGTGCTGTTCAGAAGGAATCACTTGTAGCATTTTGCTACCAGGGCCGAATGCAGGGCATCCTCTGCCTTGTGCTAATCCCAGCCAGGCTCTGAATCGCACACCGTCCTGTTGGCTGTCAATGCAGCAGTAATGCTGAAGGGTTTGCTTGTGAGACCACTTGCATTGAATGGCTACCAGTTAATAACTAAAATTAAGGAAGAGCCATTAACTCCTGGTAGCGGGTGAGAGTCTTCAAGTGAACTCCTGTTTCCCACCTGTTCTGGATGGTTAACATCTGCAACTCTGGGTCAGTACCCATTAGGGAAAGCACCATTCAAGCTGCATCCACACTTTTCTCAAACTAAAACTTATTTGTTTGCCTGAACAAAGATTTTGAGGCAGACACCATTTTTCCTTTTAGTTGGTTTGTGTCTAGACTATCCAACTTATAAGCAGATGTCTGTGAATTGCTAACTTGCACTCTGAACACTTCTGCAGGATCTCAGTAATTCTGTTTCACGGTTTCAAGGACACTCGCCAATGAATTCTTCATCCTTTTACCTATTGCCTTTTATTAAGGCAAAGTAGGTTAAGACAGGAAGTACTAATTAAACCAAAAAGAAAACAGATGGGTATACTTCACAAATTACCTGTGACCCATGTTTCAAACAGGGCTTGGATTCTCTGCAGGTTTAGTCTACCCTCAATACAGTTGATTTCACTTGTGCTGGACCAGTGAGACTTTCGTCAGTCTTCAAAGTGCTAAAGCTGAACGTAAGAAAACCTGAAAATTAGCATGGGGTTTTCAGCCCTGTTACTTCTTAATCTAAGCAAAAGCTCTGTCATTCAGACTTTTTTCATTCACCACAATTAACCAAAGATGACAAAGAAGATGAAGGAGGAGGCAGCGGCTGGGAAAGAAAAGCTGCAGTAGCACAACTGATTCTGTCTCTGATAAGCAGCGTGTCACTGCTTTCTCCCTTCCTTCTCTTCCTCATCAAGCTTTTCTGTTTTCTGCCTAGACAACCACTCCTTGCCATAAGCTGGGCAAGTTCCACTAGTTCTTCAAGTCAAGTCTTTCTTCATTTTTCCTTCAACTACATCATGTGGTTATGAAGTGCTATAAATATCAAACAAATATTTTCAGCAGAAAAAAAAAATTAAAACCTGGTAAAAAAACCCAGAAATAAAGTAAAAGGAAGGAAAAGAGATAAATGGGGCTTAGAAGCGAAGTATGTAAATATTTAAACAGCTGTCATACAAAGCTTGCTGCTTTTCAAACAAATAGGGTGCAATGCCAGCTATATTTCCTTCTTGCTTCTGGACTTCATTCACCCACAATTCTTTGTTACGAGATGAGTACATAATCTCTCTGAACTGGGAGTTCCTATTGCTCATTTATATGGCACCCAGTGGAAGAGGCCCCTGCTCTTTGACCACGGCATTGTAATTCAAATTAATAAAATCTTGTGACGCTAAACCGCTGTTCCAAGACGCTACCACTCAGGGTCACATAAAAACACATCAGTGTATAGGGGTAAAACCTATAGCCTCACTGCTAATAACTAGAGAATAAAATAATTTTCCACTAAAATCTCTCTTCTCTCTTTAATTATAATTTGAGATTTGGCATCGTGCCTTTCATCATGACGATCCTTTTCCTGAGCCACTAACATCTGGTTCCAGAGGGCACTTGGTACAAGTTAAACATAATATTAAAAGAAAGGCCTTAACTATAATCCCTGCCATAGCAACAGAAATGACAAAAAAAGCCAGCCAGCTTTGATTTGTGACGTATATGGATGAGCTGGTAGCAAGGACAGGCTCTGCAATATGGAAACATACACTACATGGAAGGAGGGAATTATTTCAGATTATTAGAAACCATTCAATGTAGAATCTGGCTGTGCAGCACCGCTGCTATTTAATATTCCACACTGACTGTTTCCATTTAGCATCTAAATGACAGTATAAAATATTTATGTAGATATTTTATCATTACAGGAAAACCACAGAGTATGGGGAGATCCATGAGCTCACAACAGAAGAACAGTTTGTAGAAGGAATATACAGGGTTGAGTTTGACACCAGCTCTTACTGGAAGGGACTTGGCCTTTCCCCATTCCATGAATATGCTGATGTAAGTATTTGCAAATATACTTAATAACCTATATACTGTGTATTGGCATCAGCTGGACAGAACAAATACAGTCCGTAAATACTGAATTCGGTGAAAAGGTTCACTGCCACATAAGGTTGTGTAAATAAAGGCAGTATACAGCTGGCTAAGCCAAAGGAAGTAGCCAACTTCCCTGCAAATACTGACATAGCTCTTCCAACACGGAGCTGTGCCCACTCACCCTTTCAGACCAGTAGGGACCTTTGTTCAAAAAGAGCTACATTATTCAAAAGCACACAGCATTTAAAAAACAAACAAGAAAAAGAAAAAAAGACTGCTTTTATCATTGCTGAAGGAACATATGGATTTGAAAACCTCATTTTATAGGAAATGAGTTCTTCTTTAATCAGAGGCATTTCCCTCATATCAGTCACCTGAAAAATCCATGAATTCTACTATGACCTGTAATTACAGGATAAAACAGTTCTTTCTGATGTGCCTTTTTTTTTTTTTAAATGTTCCTGTTGTGGTTTAACCCTGCAGGCAGCTAAACACCACACAGCCGTTCACTCACTCCCCCCCACCCCCAGTGGGATGGGGGAGAGAATCGGGGAAAAAAAGTAAAATTCGTGGGTTGAGATAAAGACAGTTTAATAGGACAGAAAAGGAAGGGAATATAATAATAATAATAATAATAATAATAATAATAATA